TTGTTTAACTAAAATCATAATTTGCTTATCATAATCTTTAATTTAATTATAAAAAAATATACCATATCAAAAAAAAACCATATGGGTAGTATTTTATTAAAATTGAGATACGAATCATACGATTTACTATGTCTCGTAACCCACTTTTAATAGATCAGCTCCCATATATTAAAAATCTTCAAATCAATTATTTATGCTTTTTTTAATAAAAAAAATAATCTACTCATCATGATCATCTGATATGCATTAAATATACGGTGGATACTGGGAAAAAAGAACTAACTCGCTAGTTAACATACTCAAAAACAACTGAGAAACAATTAAGCAAAAGAAAATTGAAAAAAATTTTCTGCAAAAACGTCCCTCAATTTTAGTACCAAATTGAAGCGTCCATACGATATATAAAAAGCTATTATTAATATAATCAAAACAATTATAATCCAAATTAATTTTTTAATTTTAATCGAGGTTAAAATAATAATATTTATATTAATAATGATATATAATATTACTAATTATATTCTCTGACTAATAAACTTGCAGAGTGGGTAATTGATCACGCATTTTTGGGGCTAAAAAAGCCCCTCCCGAAAACGCTCAACATGTATTTTTATTATTAATAAAAACGATGGTTCATTTACCAATCGACTTTCGGTAAAAATTATGACCGAAAGTAATAATGGGCGCAGGGGATTACAAATAATGTATTGTATTACGTTTAAATGTTTAAATAGCTTTTTTTTTTTTTTGAACTTTAAAAAATTTAAAAAATCTTTTTTGATGGATAAAAATAATCAAATGGAAGAAGCGATTCCAGGTTCTTACGTTATTCTGGAAAACGTATTTGGACTCATAGGAACAATAATATGGTCATTTCAATTAATTCCACAAGGTATGATATGATCTATTTGAGATGTTATTTTTAAATCGCATATTTTGATTAATCACATGATGCAGCCTATAAAAATTGGCGAAGAAAAACCACACGAGGTAAGACTAAATCATAAAGAAACGTTATTCCCGTTTATACCCATGTTGACCTTTACGTATATTTTAGGACTTTCTCAAATGATGATTCTTCAATGGGTAAAAATATTTTAATATATACGTTTCACTTGAAGATCGACGTTAAAAACCTCTCGTTTATATTTTAGACGATAGCCAATGTGTTTTTTGGAACCTATGCGATAGTCTTAAAATTGTCGATTCCCTTAATAATCCAGCCACAACTCTTTGGAATTATTTGTTTGTTTGTTTATATACAATTTTTATATTACGATTCACCTAAACTTAAAGGAAGCAAGGTAAAAAATGCAACATTATTCATATTGTCGTCGTTACTCTTTGCTGGATGTGAAGTTTGTTCCGTTTACGGAATTAGGGTAAGTAAGATTTTCATTGGCTTTTTGAATTTTCTTTGTATGACATGGTTTTATCATTTCAGGAAGCGAATACGAGAAATATCAGGTGGCCTGAAAAGGTTTTCGGTATCATATCTCCAGGTTTATTGATTTTGGGATTCGTGCCGCAGTACATCCAAATATATCGTTAGTTAAAAAATATTTATTTTAATTATTTTATAAATTCTTAAATATCACATTTTAAAAAAATTGTGGTTTAAATTGTTTTACATAGAGGAGAAGTATGTAATTGGGATTTCATTGATTTTTATGGCATTAGATATGTCAGGAGCCTTGTTTTCTGTTCTGAGTTTAGGTATGTTTTGATTGTGAATGTCTCATTATTTAATTTCCTATTACTAATCCGAAAATATTTAGCTTTCCGACCACCTCCATTTGATACAATAGCTTCATTAACTTACATATCAGTGTTTGTACTAGATGGTTTAATTGTAACATTGTATTACTTTTTAAACTGGTTTCATGCAAGAAAATATCATGATGATGTTGAAATTATGGTTATTAGTTAAACAAATTTGTTAAGGCGCCAATTAATTTAAAAGGTAGACATGCATAATAACCAATACAGTTAAATAAATCCTTTAATAGTAATTTTAAACAGGTCCAATTTCTTGAATTGGGCGTTATTTTTTGTATTGATTGTTACGTAAAAAGATGGTGTAACTTTATGTTCTGACCAATTATAAAAAATTTGATTTTTCTCAGAAATAAATAAAAAAATCACTCTTCCTTTTTTTATTATGTCTTCAAGCAAAAGACCAATGCCAACGCAAGCATTTGCTTCCACAAATACATCATCATTAAATCCAACCATAAAAGAGCAACAATATGTACATGACGTCTATGAAAAAATAGCTCAACATTTTAGTAGTACTAGATATAAGCCATGGCCAGTTGTAGAAGAATTCCTAAAGGAGTTGGAAATTGGAAGTATCGGAGTTGACGTTGGATGTGGTAATGGAAAATATTTAGGGGTTAATCGTAATGTGTATATAATCGGCGCCGATAGAAGTTCAAGTTTAATCGAGATAAGCGCATCGAGGGGATTTGAAACGCTCATTTGTGATGCACTGAATTTACCATATCGAGACGAATGTTTTGTATCCATTTTCGTTGTAAAACAAAAATAAAAAAAAAATAAAAATAAAAAATTACTAGTCCATTAACTTGTCAAAAAAAAAAAAAAATTAATGTATCAAGGATTTCGTTATCTCGATTGCTGTAATTCATCATTTCACAACTTTGGAAAGGAGGATCGCAGCGACAAAGGTTAATCTTTATTTTTTTAAAAAAAAAAACAAGCAACAATAAGATTTTATAATATATATATATAATTTTTTTTATTGGTAGGAATTATTTCGAATTGCAAAACCAGGATCAAAAGTCTTGATTTATGTTTGGGCTATGGAACAAATAGAATCACGTAGAAAATTTGACGAACATTATCAGGATGTTTTTGTTCCTTGGGTCATTCCGGCAGATAAGAATGAAAAAGAAGAAGAAATCGTGTATGATAGATATTATCATTTGTTTAAAAAAGGTGAACTGGATGATATTGTCGCAAATATAGATTTGGCACAAATAATTAAATCAGATTATAATAAGGATAATTGGTATGTTATTGCAACAAAAAGGCAATAAATTTCTTAAACGGTATCGGATTCATTTTTTAATACTATACTAGGATCCATTTTAACTTTTCTCATATACCCGTCATACCAATCTTGAAACACTTTTGCTGATATAAATGAATTTCCTATTCCAATTTTTTGCGCCCCAAAAGGAATTGTTGAAACACAAAAAGATGTAACATAGTTATAAAAATTTTTAAGAATATTAATAGAAACCTGACCAATACTTTCTGAACTTGCCGAATTGATTTGCGGTGGCAAATTTGCAATTTGCGCTTCAATCACAGAGATTGGTTCAATCGAAATTCCCAACGTTGCTGTTACCGAAGATACGTTGGAATCAAGTGAAATTGCGCCACTCGTAATCAATCTGGTACCAAATGTCGGGTTTTGCCCACTTGACGGAATAATCGTTCCGCGAAGACGAAAAATCGCACTTGGCTTGTCATTTGATAGCCTAAGAAAATAAATTATAATTAATTAATGAATTATTCAATCAATTGAATTTTTTTTTCTCGCTCAAATCATCGAACTATGATTTTTTTTCGGTAACTTACATGCCCAACAATTTCCAACCGCTTTCACTTCCTGGCCACAAGAAATGAACGGTTGCTGCATAACCTGGATCAAAAGGAATTGTTCCAAGTAGGAATACTACGATATGATTCACGGTAGCTGCATCGGGAAGTTCAAAAATATATTTGTTTACATCAACTTGTTGAAGATTGGTTTGGATCTATTGAAAATTATCAAGATTTTAATTTAATATGAATTGTAAAGGAATGATTTTATATTATTTTACAATTTACCAGTCTTCCAGCTACAATACAACCAAACATTTTGAATAAAGAGTTCAAAAGAAAAAAGAGGTCAACGAAATTTAATTTATTTCCAAAAAGAAAAAACCATTTATCAATTAGAAAGAGAATAGTAAATCCAAACCGAAGATTCTAGGTTCAGCTAATATGTTCCTTTTGTGTAACGTTCATTATGCAATAACCTCGTGATAAATAATGATTCATTGTTGGTTATGTGTCACGAGAGGTGTCAAAGAAACATAATTCTTTTAAACGGAAAAATTACTGATCGTGAGAATAAATTCAATCAGTTCTTAACCATATCCATCATCGTTTAAAAAAATTATTCCCATTATATTAAGTAGGGTTTATTCTTGAACAAAATTTCAAAAAGTAAATTTTTTAAAAGCGATGATGAAAAAGATGCTTTCTCGTCGTGTCTTTATGAATTCTATGATTCAAAGAAGATGGTACACCCCATTTGGAAGGTATAATTTTTTCAACATGTTCCACGAACAAGATTAAGGACCCGTTAATTGGTGTTATTAATATTGATAATCTTCCTTGTAGCCATGTTTCAGATAATGATCCTGTGATACTTGATCGTGAAAAAAAGAGAGTTCTCAATGGTAAGTTGATATAAAAACAAGAAGAAATTGATTTCCCTACGTCATGAAACTGATTTGTCACTCCCATTTAGGAAATGTCAAATCTCTATTGAAATCTGCACCAGGTTGGAATGAAATGTTGGCTTCAGATAGTGAAGCCATGGTAAGTAATTTTATTCATTTAAATATTTTTTTTTTTATTCTTCATTCTTTGCTTTTAATACCTTGAAATCTTTTAAATTTTATTTTCTTCATTTTTTTTTTTTTTAAAAAAAAAATAAAGGTCAAAGCTGAACGAGAACCTGATACATTATCTTTAAAAGATCTTCAACAGGAATCACTAAAGATTTTATCAGATGTTGATCGTGATGTTGATGATGATGTCGTTGTTGTTGAACAGATAAAACATGAATCTAAGGTTCAAAATATCAAAGAAGTTATTGTTAAAAATACTACGGCATGATTGCTATATCAGATATCTGTGATTTTGATCTTCAAAATTGGATTTTTGTAACATTATGAATTTACACAACACAAATTTTATCATTTATAATTTGTCATTTGTTATATTTGTATAACATTTGATTTGTTTGTTTTAATGTCTATATAATAAATATTCATCGAAAATATTTTGTCCATACATTAAAAAAATTTCGATCATATTGCAATTATTGATTACCAGTCTATCATGTAACGAATCACTTCAACTTTAATTTCTCTTGAAAGTGGACAAGATCATTATGTTGGTGTAACATCTTGTGGTACGGTGCGCGATTTTATCAGATTTTATGGTGGTTCCCTCGTTTTATAATATCAAATGAATAGTCATGGGACATTTCCTTTTTCCCTTGACATTGACTCGGGTAACCAAAATAATATCGTTTCTTTTAAAAATTATGTTATATTTTTATTGTTTATTAAATAAGCAATTAATAAAGCACGAATTTTCTTTCAAACGGTCCAAATATTTATTTCTAAATAGGGACGTGCATTACATCGAACCTTTAAAATTGCTTTGAAAACATGCAAGATAATGCTCAAAGATATTATGCATGCATACATGTTTTGAAGCAAATAATCGTTATTTTTTCTTATGTCAAAACCAATGACATTGGTTTTCATTAGAATTTCACCAATTTTAAAAAAAAAGTATGGATATTCGGAAAAAAGCTTAAATCAAATATTCTCGTAATAATGTGATAATAGAGAGAGGAAAGGTATACAAATGTACGATTGTATGCGTTGTTAATTAATAAGGCATGTTTTTTATTTTTAATTTTGCACAACATTCAAAACCGAATGCACATCTATATAATACAACGTTCCTTGGCGCATGTAAGATATGTAAGATTTCGTGAATACGGAAATTTTAAATTGGACAGATTCTGTTTATATTTTCCTTAGCTGCAGTTGTACATTATTGGAACACAAGGAGGTCGCAGTTTATATGCTAATATAAAAAAAGAGTAAAAAAAAAAATTTGAAATGATAAATGAATATTCCTATTTTGATAAATTTTTTTTTTTTTATAATTTGTTGGCTAAATAAAAAAAATCTCTCTTCCACAAAGAAAAAATTAGGTAAAGAAATGATCATTGAGGAAACATCAATCAAAAACAATACCTTTGGTGTTACGTTTTGCATAATTTGTATGCAAGTTAACTGGAAAAAATTCAAGCGCGAAAATATTTTCAGAAATAAATGTAACCTAAAAGAAAAGAGATAATTCATTCATTCCTAATGGATATCATCATTCAAAACGGGTAATGTTTCAAATTCAGCCAAATTTATTATTTCTTTTTTCTATCAAAAGTACCGTACCTCATGGGTAACTAACAGGGTAACTAACAAATAACAAACCATTTTTTTTGAAAAATTTTGCAATTTTTTAAATCTTTTCACCATGATCGTCAGACCGTTCGTCATAACCTCTCTTTTTTGAGCAAGATTGACATTAAAAATACTTCAAATCTTTTTTTTTTAACAAAAAAATAACTTCATTTAGATAAAATTAAATTAAGATGAATTCTTTTAAAGGAAAGGGGCGCAGTACATGATGTCATTTTGATTAATGTTTTGAAAATATTTTTTTGGTTTTTAATTGACTATATATATATTTTTTTTTGGTGTATCATAAACAAAATTTCTTTTCCCTCTCTCTCACTTCTCTCACTTTCTCTCTCACAAATTAAATGTACTTTTTGAATTGGAGGATCCAGTTACATACCAGTTTTTTTTACCTTTTTTATTTCGTAGATTAGATATTTCAAAAAGATTTTTTGTTTTTTTTAATAAATATTTCAACTCTAATAGGGAAATTTGAATGCCTAAGCCTCATTGTTTGTCGATCGAATCTGAAATTTTGGGTTTGTTTGCAAAGCCTATTTCCATAAATAGACCAATGATTTTTTTATGATAAGAAATCAAAAAAAATTACAAATTTCTTTTTAGAAATAAATAAAAAGGATTTTTCGCAGATCGCAATTTCTTTTTTGGAGAACGACATTAAGCTAAGTCACAAGTCCTTTTTCCTTTGTCATTTTCCGAGAGCGTTGATAGTGTTAAAAAAAGAAAAGCTTCTAACCAAAAACGAAAGCCGAATATTTTAAAAAAAAATATTTCCAAATTCCCTGTTGTGTTTGAGCTACAGTAAATGTTGTTGATCTTCTCAATTTTTGTTTATCAAAAGAAGTTCCCTGCAAGATGAAATCATCAGTTTTGCAAGTTTATGACATCACCCTGAAAAAAATTTTTTTATTTGGTACCATCAACACAGGGCTACTAATATAAGTATATTATGTAAGGAACAATAAACATTAAAAAAAAAAAATTCTTACTGTAAATCTTGTAAATCTTCATTTTTTTTGATTCATCCAAATTTACTTTTCAAGAAAGAAAAATAGTTGGTGACAATGTGGAGGGAAAGAAAGATGATATCAGTTAGATTTTAATTTAATTTACGTAATGTTGTGTTCTACAAGACCATCATCACTCATTGTCATAGTGTGACATTATATTAAAAAAAGGGACAGTACATTTATAAAAGGGACAGTACATTTATTTATATTGATTGAAAATTTTTATTAAAAAAAAAAAATATAAACAGCAAACAATTTAAATAAAAATCACATTCGCCAAGATCTTTTTTGCGGTTGCAATTATAATTCACATTCAATAACATATCTAAGCTTTCTTTATATATATAGCCCACCACTTTTCCCTCCCCAACTTTCGATTCATTTATTTAAAAAACCTTGTGAGTTGTAACTTATCATGATCCATATTCCCTACTTTTTTGATAATAATAATAATATAACTGCTGTTAATCGTGTTATGGACGTATGTAAATTCGAAACCTTTTTATCTTTTTTTTTATAAAAAAAAATTTTCTTTTAAAACATGTCTTATTCCATTCATTCATTCATGTATTAATTTCTTTCTTTCTTTAAATCATTTGTGATTTATGTCCTTTTAAAGTACCAACAATATCATGATGGAATACACTTTCCATCCACGACGTCCGCAATTAACAATCAGGTAAGATTTTTGATTCCGGTCAGCAGAATGTTTTAAAGTTGTTTCTCTTTTCTTGACCACGAAAGTTATTGGTGAAAAAATGGTTTTATGATGATCATTTGTGAATTGTGAACTATCTAATTTATGGAAAAAAATTAATCTTTTTTCCTATCTCTTTATTAAAAGACACCAACATTTCCGAACAATATGGTATAGTTAATTTTACCATATCTTTTTCTAATCTATACCTCAATGGGATTCGGATTATCTTATTGAAAATAAACAAAAATGTATAATAACATCATTATAAAATTCTTATCAATAGTTATACCAAGCCAATTCAGGATCCTTAGTTGGTTCTCATTATCACCAAAATCAGCAGAATCATGTAGGACCGAATAATAACTTGCAAACTTACAATATGGTAATTATTTTTTTTTATTTTTTTTTTTAAGAAAATTTCATCTCAAATTTTCTTGAAAAGAAAAAAAAAAAATTAATACGGAATAATTTTTTTTTAAAAAAAGATTGACCAGGCGACCGCTCAAAATGTCAGTCAACAGGTAAACTTCCAAATTCATCCATTTCAAACATACCATGCTTAACAAACAAATGACTTCTTTTGGTCCCTTGGCTTTCCTCTTTTCATTCTGTTCTTTCCATTTGATATTTTTTATTTTTTATTTTTTATTTTTTTTTATTGTCAAAGTTTTTTTATAAAAATTTGAAATTAACATAAAATTTCTCACGCCAACTTTCAGCCACAAAACGAAGAATACGCATTATATCATCGTCAATTAGCTCAAAACCATGCTATGGCACTTGCTCAGTTATTGATTCCTGGTGCTGAATATGATGAAACAAAGGAATCAATTCAAAAGTTTTCCTCACAGAATCAGTTGCATGAAGATCGTCAAATTAATATAAATTACGCGATCGAACAGGTATTATTATTTATAAGTTTTTAATTTCATCTTATATGGTAATTTGTCATACTTAAAAATAATTTATAAATTTAGAATTTTGTAATATCGAATCAGCAATCTCAAAATGTTGCGTCATCCGCCCAATCCGGTGTTTCCAATCTTGTCAATCAAAAACCACCAGTTTACACAAAATGGACCGAACAAGAAGATGAGTTGTTGCGTGGCGCAGTGCGCATTTATGGACCTCACAAATGGTCCCTTATCGCAACACATGTGCCCAATCGAACGCCAATGCAATGTTCGGCTAGATGGGTAGGAGCGTTGAACCCTTCAATTCTTAAAGGTCGATGGACTTCACAGGAGGATAACGCACTAAAAGAAGCCGTTAGTAGTTATATCAATTCTGTCGATTCACAAGGAAATCCGCAACCGATCCCGTGGAATAAGGTCTCAAAGAGAATTCCACAACGTACTGGGGCTCAATGTCAGGCCCGATGGACCGAAGCATTGGATCCTCGCATAAGGAAAGGTAAATGGTCACCGAATGAGGATGAAATTTTGAAAGATGGAGTTCGAATGTTTGGGCGCTGTTGGATTCGAATTGCCGAAATGATAAACGGAAGAACTCAGGTAACTAACTAGATTTATTTCCTTCATGTACTTTGTTTTATATACCGAATCTTTTTATTTATTTATTCATTTATTCATTCATTCATTTACGTGATTTTAATTATAATATTTTTTTTTTTAAAATAATAATGATCATAATGATAATGATAATAAATATTTGATAATAATATTAATAATAATAATAATTATAATAATTAATAAATAAATAAAATTTTAGAGACAATGTCGTACGCGATGGTTACAAATAAGAAATAAGCAATCAAGGATCAAAAATGAAAATGTAATGTCTGGGATTACTGCGGTTGGCGCAATCACGAACGATGAAAGTAATAATAATATGTTGACACCACCTAACACGACTCCTTCAACGCCAGCGCAAAGGATTAAAAACGTATCATCGAGCTCACCAGATATTATCCAAGGGGTGATCTTACGTTCTTCTCCACAAACAATGACCAACACTAGTCCCACATCGTATGGAACTTTAGAATCACCAATTTCCAATCAGTCAGTGAGTAGTGGCCAAAGCCCAACCATTTCCGATCCCGTAACACCTATCTCAAGCCCTGAATTTTCAAATTACGTTGTCGATACGAACTCAATCCGTAATTTTAATAATTGCAATATGCATTTTAATAATTCGGCTTCCGAGAACCCACTTTTGTTTTATAACGGTCCAGTGCAACCTTATATCGAACAATACAATAACGAAATCTCGTATATTATTTAAATTCAAACCGTTTGAATTACAAAGAAAAAATGGAAAACAATGTGAAAGGAACAATCTTATTTTTTTTAGAAAAAAAATCATAAACAAAATGAAACAAAAGAAATGATTATAATAATGTAAAAAAAATGGGAAAATTACGAAAAAAAAAAGGGAATATATGAACTTAAGGTTTATTTTATGAATGTAACATTGAAAAAGGGATCACTACTTGTAAAAAATTATGATTATTTAAAACATTTTAAGATTTAATTATGAATTATGTAAGATCTTAAGAGGGAACTAATTTTTATATTATGCGACCCCAATATGCTTATATCGAAAGTTGAAACATATTGTTTGTATATCTTATATTTCTTATAGTGGTTATACATATGTGTGTGTATATGTGTATATATTTTTTCTTAAAAAAAAAAATTAACTTTTAATTCTTTTAAGCTGTTATTTATATTTAAAAATTTGTCAATAAACGAAAGTGATCAAATAAGAACATTCGACCGTTTTTGTTACAGTTTTTGTTGAATCAATATTTATTGCATGATCTTTTTTTGTTGTTGATAGTTGATTTTCTTTCTCCTTTCTTTCTACTTTGTCCAAAGGTTTGTTAATGGTGGAAATCTTCACTTCGTTCGTCAGTCTATAAGTGAGATCGAGTTGATGTAGTTAATGCAAAAGTTATTGAATATGTGATGTTTTTAATCAGCAGATTAAGAAAATAATTTAATTGATTAGAAATTACTTTTGGTCCTTGTAATATATTTGTAACCAACAAACCAACAACTTTCTTTTGTAGATTTTGCATCAATACAGACACGCGACAAAATCAAATGTAAAAATTCTCGCCAAAAAAGAAACAAAAAAAGATCATACTACATACACAACATTCTTATTTACAAGAAAATCAGACGAGATATAAAATTCGCGAAAGTTTTACTTAATTGGGATTAGTTGCTATGTCATTTAGAATTTAAAATTTTTTGTTAGGAAAAAAATAAAATAGGAAAAAAAAAAGTTTGAAAACAATGGAATGCATTTGATCACACTTTAATTTTTTTACCTATTAAGGTCATCTTTTAAAATTGATTAATCTTAGTGGTTTACATTTGGAAAATTAGCAGAGAATCTAAAAAAAAACTGTCGAGGTGATACAAGGTTTTTACTTGAAATCTAAATATTAGAGGTTGGTGCGGAGAAATCATTAGTAGCGCGTGAAGAATAAATAAATGCGTAGTGTAATCATCGCGGTTAGGATTTTCGGTAAGCACTTTGTACTACATTTCAAGAAAACCTTGTTCCAAACAAACAACTTAAGAATTCGATTTCATTAATTTCATTTTAGATTTCTTGGCGTGGGGGTTTTTTTTAATCATTAAATTTAATCTAATAACAATTTAATCAAGAAATTATCGAGTAAATTTTTTTTTTTTTTTTTTAAAAAAATGCCATACTCACAATTTCCTTCATTCTTTTTATGCATGCAAGCAATTCATAATAAACACCAAAAAAATTTTTTTTTTTTTTTACAATACGTTACAATAAAAAAGGAAAAAGGAAGGTCTAGACAAGGAGCCGACTTTTTTGTTGTTTTGTCAAACACATGATATTATACTTTTTATGATTAATCTTTATTAACTTCCGATAAGGTCAAATTTGCAATGAATGTTGCTCGCGATTTTCCCATGTCAAAAATAACTTTCCCCCTTTTTTTTTGTGAATCTTTGACAATCAGACAAACATTCAACGCGAATTCGGACAAATGGCGCAGGATTATGTTGATTTTTTTTAGTTGTAACCTATAAATTATTAATTACATAAGACATGGACGCGCGGGTAATCCCGTGAAGCCATAAATTTAATATTCCCATTTGAAGATCACTCACTAATTTATGAGATTCTAGACTGTCTAATAAAGAATATTCTGTCAAGTATTTATTGTCATTCTTTGTTTATTTATAGATGATTTTTGGTTTAAAAAAAAAATAAATAAATAAATAACCACGCTCTTTCTTTCGCATTGTTTATTATTTATTATAAAAATAAAAATTCTACCCTTTTTTATTTATATTTATTTACGCATGTACATTTTCCGGATATAACTAAGGAAAACTTATTGGTCATATGGATTCATTTTTTTTTTCGTTTACGCACTAACTTTATTGATTTAAGCTTTCCTTTATTATATCTAACAAATCATGACATAAATAATTTTGTTCATTAATAAATTTATAAATTCCAAATCATTGTAATCACCTTTTATTATAAATCGAGTTTTTAAATTTCTTTCCGTATAAAAGATGCTTTCTTAATAGATGTATAAAATTTTAAAATTAGAATTTTATCAAATCAATCAAAATTGTTACTTATTCATAACGTATTATGATATCAATTAATTATTAATCAGGATTATATAATTTCATTTTATAACATACTAAGTCTTTATTAAACTTCTTATATTATTAAATTTAATGTTCATCTTTTTTTATATTATATAATTAATTAATTTTTTTTAATTTTTTTATTAAAAAGGAAGGTAGTAATATAAAATAAAAAATATTATTATCAGAAATAACATTTGTCTTTTAAATTCTATACATTAAATTCAATAGATTAAATTTTAATATTATATTTAATGTAAATAAATATTTTTTGAGATGTCATTTAAATTAAATTATTAAATTATTAAATATTTATTATATTCTGTATTTTAATAGCATTTTCTTACTTTATATTTAATATATTTATTTAATTATAAAAGTCTTTTTACCAATATAATAATTATTATTTAAATTAAAATATTAAAAATTTTATATTTTATATGCTTATTATATATAATCCTAGATATTCTTTTATATATTTAATATTTTAAATAATAAAAAATCTTTAATATAAAAATAATAAATAAAAGATAAAATATTAAAATGGTATAATTATAAATAATTTAATTTCTAAAAAAATTAAGTTATAATTAAATTTACATAATTTATTATATAATAAATTAGTAATATTAGATATTTTAATAAATAATATATATTTAATAATAAAATTAATTATAACTAACATATCATAATCTATTGCAATTTATTTAATATTTACATATAAATTTATTATAAATATTATTTAAGGTCAAGCAAAATAAAGCAAAATTTAAATAATAACATTATACCTATAATAATTCTTTTTAGTAAATATCAAATAATTATAATCAGTGTATTAAAATTTATATGCATAATATTTACATATACACATTAATTTTTTGGCATATATTACATAACATAAAATTATTATTAAAATAAATAAATTATATTTATATAAAAATAAAGTAATTTTATATAACAAATTGTTATAGTTTTCTTAATATATATATACATAATTTTAATTTAGATTTTGTCACATTGATTATAATATTTTGATAATTATATTAGTTTAAAAACAATTAAAAATATATTTTATTAATTAAATAATAAATAAAGAAGTTTGTTATTTATTTTTAGTGGTAATAATTACTAGTAATTGAAGTTTTTTTATATAATTAAAAATATTTAAGAAAGAATTAAACAAAATTTTTAGTAGTAAAAAAAATTTTAAGTCTTTAAAATATATAATAAAAATAAAAATAGAGAAACGTGACATATAATAATAAATAACATAATATAGACCAAAAAAGGGGTTCTGGAACAAAAATCCAAATATTACTCAGAAAGATTTCTGTTCTCCTCTGAATCAATTTTAGCTATATGAATCAAAATATCGAATTCAAACCTCTAGCGTGTTTTGACTCAATTCTAGATGATGATATTGAACTTGTCTAAGAATTAACCTTCAGATATCAAGAATTATACTGTTTGATATAGCCATTCTAGCCTATTTTTAATCCTAAATAATATATCAAAAATTTTTTACTATTCTGTTTGCCTTAAGAGGGGCTATCAAAAATCAAGGAACAAAGTGACGCAATTTGAGTTGGGCCTGACATTGCAAACCCAATATGAATAATAACTTTTATGCTATTCTGCTTGCCTCTAGAGGGGCCATCGAAAATCAAAAAATAAAATGACACGATTTGAGCTGGGCCTGATCATGCAAGCCTAAAATGCATATCATAATATCATCTTTTAAGTCTCACCTCTAAATGTTACCTCTAAGTCGCATCTTTTATCAAGTCTTACCTCTAAGTGCGGAAAAAATCAGAATGAAAAGCTGAAAGAAGCTTAAAATGTATACCATATTCTAAGTCGCACCTTTTATCAAGTCTAATCTCTGAATCTTATCCTGCAATTTATTATAATATTGCATTACATAATATCCTCTAATATGTTCAACACACCGTTCACAAGCTGTAGCAGTAGGTTTGCCACAATCAGTACAAGAATAACGCTTTCTAGTCTTCCAATGTTGCCGACATCTTTCAAATTGAGTGCAGACTTTACCACAAATCTTGCCAGAGTTATGAAGATAGTCGCAAGTATAAGATGCCATCATTTACAATAGGAATGAAAAATTTTAATTAAACAAAATTATCTGCAATATAGAAAAGTGAATAGCAGATATTAGGGTTTCTCAAAATCGAATCGAATCAAATATTTAAGCAATTTGAATTTGATTATATTTTTACAAATCGAATCGAATCGAATCGAATTGAACTCAAATATTTAATCGAATCAATTTGAATCAATTTGAATTTGATCGAATCGAATCAAATTGAATCAAATATTTGTCAAATCAAATCAAA